CCCCAAAACCCCAAAACCCCAAAACCCCAAAACCCCATTATTTTTAATAATATTGAAATCAAATGTTTTGAAGTATGAAGTAAGCCAGGCTTTCTGATTTAAAATATTCAAAGGAGAATGCTTTAATGTATCAAATTTAGAAGATTATCCTAATTTTTTTAGAAATTCCAAAAACCAGAGAAGAGATAGGATAAACCGAAGTCAAAGTCACGCAAGCACACAGCTATCAGACCAGATTCTTTACAGTAAAGCCTTGCTTAATTCTTCAGAAATGAACCATGACTTGAACCAGGAAGGATGTAGGATAAAATAAGATCAAAAAGATCCCTCAGAAGCTCTACAAGCCACTTAAACAACAAAGTTACACCCTCCAAAACAACAACGACGCCTCTAGAAATTACCATCTCAGTGCCTATAACCCACAACTCTAGACATCAAGACCAAAGGGCACCTAAAAGTACTCTCCCAAAAGCTTGAACCCATCACTAAATCTCATACAAACACCTTTAAACCTAACCTGCGATCTCAAAGTCTGCCCTATGTCTCACATTTAGGCAGTATTTCAATCCAGAGATCTACTAATTCTTCAAGAGTATTCTTACCTTAAGTGACTTCTCTAGTCTAAAATTTTGGAACAAAGGAGCGACCAGAAAGAATTGGGTAAATGTACCGCCCAAAGCAAATTTTTGAAGAAATTTGATAGATCGATGAACAAATATTACCGAAGAATGAAACTAACCAAGGGAGAAAACTCAGCTGAGTGGCAAAGCCCATTTATTACATACAAGACTGGTCAGAAGCGATTAAAGTAATTTCTTGGTGTTAATTCTTGGCTTAAAGAGATTTCATGATTAAAAGTGCATCATATAGGAGTGAAACAAGGAATATTTCTGTGTTCCAGAAGAGAATTAAAGATAGAATCAAAGAATCTAATCAGAAATTATTTAATCGTAAGGCTCCCCTTCATCCTCATAGTGAGCTCTATCGAGTCTCCAAATCCAAAATTCTTCAACAAGAAAATAGAACAAGCCAGCTCAGGTACGAAAATCCACTCTCCTAAAGCCACTTTAAACATCCTTAGAACTAAACCCCTCCTATTAACTTCTTCCCCATACTTTCCTTACTTCTCCATCTCAAAGTACTACATTTCCTATCTATCCCCCCTATTGCAGCCCCTTTCCTTAAGCAAACACATCCAAATTCCCCTAAAAAATCAACTTAATATTTCACCAATAAATCCTCAAAATTTCCCTTTCGGCGTTTAAAAGCCGCTCCCGGTCCTTATCTTACCTCTAAATTGTTGACTTTGTTCTTCTCAAGTAGAAAATTTAGGTATAAATTTTACAAATTTCTTAAGAATTACAGCTAGGGGTTGGGTAATAGAGTAGATTAGAAGGGTTATGATAGAGAATTTGTACTTGTGTGGAGATGAGAAGTAACTGGTTGGGGATTAATTGGGTGATTTGAGTGAGATTTTAGGGATTTATATGAACAGAGTGCTGGAGTATGTGAGGAGTCAGGTGAGAGTTAGGGTGTGAGGTATAGGGAAGCAGATAGAGTAGAAGAAGAGACAGGAGAGTAAGGATGGTTGTGTAAAAGGAATTTTTGAAAAATCTGTATTTTGAATGGAATTTTGAGGATTTATAGGTTTGGAGGGGTTTTGGGGTTTTGGGGTTTTGGGGTTTTGGGGTTTTGGGG